CTATTATGGACCAGCTGCAACGAAAAAAGTGGTGGGGTTACCTTGGCAGCAAGGTATAGAGCATCCAAAAATATATAGCAGATTGGTTCATGAGGACAGTTCATTTGTCTCCATGATTCAAGCAAATGAAATTCGTTTTTTACCAAAGTTACTTGATGTTTAATTGCATCTTCAAAGCAACAAATTGGGCAATTGCCTGCTTCATCAACAGTTGCCAAAGAAGAGGCAGTGAAATACATAATACATGACTGCTATAATATGTGTGCGCAATGCAGAATCACATGAATGTTATGCCTAAAGAGCTGGGTGTAGTTAAATCTGATAAATTCCACTTCAAAGTGATTGGATTGCCAACATGAAGCAATTTTACTCCAAAGTGCGATCTTGATTAGGGAAAAAAAAAATTTAATTATCAATTGGCTGTATACGGTGAAATTCCCTTCTCTCTCTCCTGGTTTTTTTTTTATTGGCAAGGAAACAAGTTTTGGAAACTCCAGGTTCATATAAGAAAAAAATGAATAAACCTTAATTATCTTGAACATAATTAAAAGCAAAGGTTAACATCAGTAAACGCCCAAAGTATCACAAAATTCTGAAAACATTTCATCCTTGCCATCCTAGCAAATCCATTAGATTCAAACAATAATCAGAAAGCAAATAAGGATAAATGCCAACCATCATCATGGAAACAAACTTACACCGACAACTTCCCATCAGAGACTGACATCAGCCTCTTCACTTTATCAGGCTGCAACTGCAATGGGAAAAGAGCAAAATAAGGATCTAACTAAACAACAATCAATGCAGAGATGAAACTATGAGACAGCTTCACCTCCTTATCAACAGCTAATGCTGCATATATTATAGAAGCATTCTCCTCAGAACCAAAATCTACTTCGAAGTCACTGCAGAAGACAATATATTCTAGAACATCAAACAGTATCTTATAAAGAAATTTCAAATGTAAATGAACCACTTATGACCACTGGTGCCACTTGCATAGAATAATTTAGTACAGCACGATAACAAAACAGTTTACATGAATTCATCATATTTCCTTGGAGATTCTTTCCTATATGAATTCATTCATCAAATTTATAACCATTACCTGATATTCTCAGTATCCTAGTATTTTTGCTCACATTCTTCAAGCATGTTCAAGTCATTTATTCTTAAATATCACAGATTTACAAACCACAATATAGATTTTGGGAATTTTGCAGAATTATGAAAATGCAATAGCACATTAGCCTTGTGCTAGTAAAACTTAAATAACTTATCAATCATTGACAAAATGCTGCATTTTTTTGCTCCCAATTTCTATAAAATTGCTATCATAATGGAATCCACACGCTTAAAAGTTAGAGAAACATATTGACAGGAAAAAATACTTTATTGGCTTCCACATTCTTCCTTTGATTTCAAAACAAGTTTCCTTCCATGTAGCTAAATATATGAAACCAAAATTACTTCAAGCAACAGAAAATTGACCTACATTCAGCACCAATGGTAAAACTTAAAACTGATAACTATAAATCACAAGTTTTTCAGCAGTTTTGGTGGCAGTTCTGCTCTATAAATGAATTTTGAAAAAAACCCACAAACAAGAAAGAATCACTTCGCATACCATGTCATTCAGCAGTACTCAAATACAAAATACAACACCAAAGATTCAGAATTTATTTACTTTACACAATTAACATGAAATATGAAAAAAAAACCCTAATCAATTCTCAAGTCAATGAATGCAAAAGTAACAAAAAATTAATGAAAATCATGACTATACACAAGATATTGCAAGTATAAGTATGACTTAGATGTATTGAGATAGAGAAACCAAAAAGAATTTCAAGGAATTATAAACACAGAACAGGAATTTAGAGAAACTCAAAAGGCTATGGTAACTGAAGAGAAAGAGAAAAGAGAGAGAGAAAAAATACCAGCTGAAATCCCATTGGGTATCCAAAGCAGCAGCAGCAGCCATTACTTCTTTTTGCAACCACTCTCTCTTCAACACCCCACTCTTTTCACAACGGGAATAAACTGGAATTTTATGTCCAGCAGCGTTAGTCAACGTTGTCGTTTCAGGTCCAACAAAAAAGGGGGAGACTGTTAAGACTTTGGAATTCGTACCATGTAATTTTCTTCTCTTTTCTTTTCTTTTTCATTTTATGATAAAAATATTCTCAATGATAAAAGATTAAATCATTTTCTAAGATGAATATTAATATAATTTCAATTAATGTAATGTTTTTGTTTTCAGGAGAATGATATGAAAAAATATTTAAAATTTAGAATTAAATTGGTTTTTTTAAAAAATATTTTTTAGAGGAAGCACTGCCTTATACAAACCATATAATTAAAATTTTTGGGTATATATATATATTGATTGAACACACACTCTTTCTCTAATTTGTTTTCTTATAGTAATTCTATAACTATGGGCAAGAATTTCCTCTTTTTTTTTCCCCTTCCCATAGTGTTTGCATTGAGGGGAAATGGGACATGAACTTAGCATGAAGAAAAACTAATTTATTTTTTGTAAGATGATATTTTTTAAGCTTTATTTTGGTTGTTAGATGATATTTTTTAAGCTTTATTTTGGTTTTTGGATGTTAATTTGTTGGTATTTTAGAAGTTTTAGATTAGTTTTAAAGTGTTTTTTTTTTGTTGCTATAGTTTGTGTTTTCTTTTTAATCTCTACTTTTTTATATAGAAATAATAATATTTTATTTTATTTGCATTTTTTTTCTTAGTAGTTGAGTGGTGAGAGAATTGAGGAGAGATAATGCCTTTTATGGCTACAAAAATTGATATATAAAAAAAAAGCTTTGCATATCTATGCCTATTATTTTTATATTTTTGGAATTCTGAATTTGACTCATTTTTAAATTAAACAATTAATTTAATGATTAAAAAAATATAAATAAAATTAGAATATTTTATTGACCTAAATAAAGTCGAGTAAAGTTTTGAATTGATGCCCTAAGGAGTCTAATTTTATCATAAAATTGAATAAACTTGTTAAGGTGAAATTATGAGAAGGGCATATGAGTATATTCCAGCAGAATATTTTGGTAAGGTTGGTCCCTCTCTGCCTTTGTAAGCTTATCATATGGCATATTACTCTACCCGCAAGAAGAATATTTTCTCTTTTACTACAGAATATTTTGTCTCGCATTTACTATTTGCTTTCCTTCCTTCTTCCAAGCTCTACTCCTTAACCAGAGAAATGGACGCAAGACCGATCTTCATTTCAGGATTCAGAAACAACTTCCAGCCACCAAGTTCTTTTTTCTCTTTCAAAAGGTAAGTTAACACACACTCTTTCTCTAATTTGTTTTTGTTTTCTTATAGTAATTCTATGAGTATGGGCAAGATTTCCTATTTTTTACTCCTTCCCCTAGTGTTTGTATTGAGGGGGAAATGGGACATGAACTTAGCATGAAGCTTAGCTAGACATGGTTTAGCACTTCATGGTATGATGGTAGGCTAGTCTTGATGAGAAGTTTATTGGTAAGAAGAGTCTTCAGTGCATCTGATCACATTTCTTCAAGTATAGATAAGAGAAATGTTATAAGAAGAATCATGAGCCATTAGTCAAACCCACCAATCCATTCCATGTGATCAAATGACTCGTAATCTTCTTGAAATCTTTACCCTTTAAGGCAAGATCTGAAATCAAATTTGTTTGCAACTATTCACTATTTAGGGCTCTCTTCTTCTCTGTATAGTTTCCATGTCTGCCTTGCTTGGTTTGCATTTTCCATGTGTTTACTTTTGTTTGGATTGGAGCATTGCTCTGTGTTTGACTTTTTTGTTTAATGGAGCATTACTCCCCAGCTCTTTGAATTAGCTAGTGCCTTATCATGATGCCTTTGTTAAATGTAGAGTTGAGATGGTGGTTACTTGTCAAATAAAAGGCTTGCCTTGGCCATTGTTTCCGCTTTAATATACATCCCTTACAACTGGGTTTAAGGAAAATTTCTGAAAAACATGTGAGTCCATGAATCCATTGAATCCAATCCACTCACAAGTGAATGTAGCAAGGGAAAGATAAAGAGAAACGGAAACAAAAATATAAAAACAATTGATATCTGTGACAGTTTTAAAATGAATTTCTGGAGAAGATGTTCTTGTATCTCAATTGTCTTCATCAACCAGACGCTGTCACGGTGAACCGAGCTCAAATAATAATTGTCAAGTGAGATTGGGATAAGTTTATTAGCAAACTTAATCAACTTTTAAGCTTCTAGCTATGTAGCAATGCTTATGCTGTAGTATACTCAAATTTAAGCCTTTTATATATCTCAAAAAATAATTTGTTTGCAGCATGGTGCACACACGGGAAAATGGAAAAAAAGAAGGGAAATCTTCTCACTAGGGGCTGGCATTGGCATGCAAAGCCAAATGGACCGTCATTTGTTTTGTGACTTCTCCATGTTGTTCTTTGCTCACCCTCTATTGTTTTTCGTACTCTTTAGTGGCTGATACAAGCCAATTTGTTAATATCATTGTTGCTCGGGAAAGAGGATCCAAGGGCTTGAGATATTCGTTGATGGTGGCTTCAGGTCTCTCTACACAGCCTCCTGAATCACAATCGTAATGTTAATTTATGTCACAACAAGGCCATCTTTGCCTTGCTGCTCTTTATTCTGAATGTATAGTGCACATGTTATGGTCACATAGAGCCGCAGCGCTGGGGGCACAAGTCAATAAACCCTGCAAAATGAACAGGAAAAAAAGACCGTTTTTAGGTTTTACCTCTTCAAAGAAGAATGCCTTGAACAGAGACAGTGAGAAGCCAAGTGAAGTTACCGATAAAAAGGGGGTTTATTCTCTGTGAGCTCATGCGAGGGAAGGTCCAACTCTGGCTGGCTGCAGACTTCTTATAGTCCTTCGTATATACTCAAACATGAGCATAAAGAGACCAAAGACGGATGATATGCTCAGATGCAGCTTTTCAACTACGCAAACTGTCGAACAAATGTTGTTTTTACCTAATAACGTTCCTCTCCCTGACCACCCTGGACCAGACAAACAAACAGAAAATATCAGCTAATGATCTTAAAAAGAAATGTGTTGCATAGTATTTGTGTGGATAGGACCAAACATTCTCTCTTCCACCAGGCTGTAGGCACAAAACAAAACCATGAACTTTATCAGTGAAGTCTTATCACTGGATTCTGATCACGAAGGTTTCTAGATGCATTCGCTATCTTCAACTGCTTTAATGAAAATAAAGTTGAAAATTCATTGCCGAGGAGATAGGCATCCCTTCTAGAAGGGAATTTAGGATGGTGCAGGCCAGGAATCAATGGGAATTCAGAAGTTGGCAATAAGGTGCCCTTCGGACCATCTCCCTTTTCTTTCCTCATCCACAGAAAAGAGGAAATAATATACCACAGCATGCTTATGGTGGTAATCTCAACCATGGCTAACACACAAATAGAAACACTTATTGAATGCGGATACTTACGAGAGCTTTTCCTGGGAAAATTACTCCAATCATGTGGGCTCATCTTTGTTTCTGATGCTTTAATCAGTTCATGAAGAGCTTGATTGACCTGAGTTTTCTTAAGAAAATCAATATTGGATTTTTATATGTAGTCAAACATGATTAAACAAACCCCAGAATACAATTTCAGTATCCCTCGTGATGTATTTCTGACAGTGGTGAAATATTACAGACTAATTTGTTTGTTTACGTGTTATGTCCGAATTCACATAAAAAGTTATTTAGCATTCAAACAAATTCGTGATCCGTGATTACAGACTAATTTGTTTGTTTCCGTGTTATGTCTGAATTCACATAAACAGTTATTTAGCATTCAAACAAATTCGTGATTCATTTGCAACATGTATGCATCTACTGTTGTTCTTAATCCATTGCAATGTCATAATATTTCCAGTTTCACCTGAAAAAAAATCAATGTTCGTATTTTATTTGTTAACCTCAAATAATAACAATTCTCTATTGCAGAACTGTCGCTGTGCTGTAATGAAATGGTGAAGTCATGCCATATCTCTATATAAGATAGTAGGAATACCTCTTTGGTCCTCTCATGACTCACTAGATGCCCACCGTGGAGATCAACCATTCTAGCAACAGGCAGCAACTTCTCTGCAAGCCTCCTTGCATAATATATCGGAGCAATGATATCATGCCTAGCCATTCAGAGCACCTCAAATTAGTCATAAGCAGGTAAAAGTTCTCAAGGATGTAGTTATTAGAATATCATTAGTACATATATATGACAAAAACTATCCATCTTCTATTCTAACATGTAAATATTAAGAATCTACTAATGTATACACCTAGGTAGCACCACTCATTTAAGAAAAAACAAAATAATCTACTGGCTAAGACCACTAACCGTGGATTATATGAATTAGCTATGTACAAAATAAGTTATCTAAAAAGCTCCAGAAGCTCCAGAACTGGTTAGCAAAACACTGTCAAGTATGCTGCTAGTGTATAGTTTTGACTTTTGGCATTTCCTTCAAAGAGGTGAGATATGCATTCTGAAACGACATGAAATACATGAAAAATGATTCATTTCCCAGTGAAAAACAATATATTATGCATGTTCACAATATTTGCATCTTCAAACTGTGTTAAAAATAATATGATATTATAAAAAACTTGTCAGTCTGAAAATCTTCATCTGTCTATGATTCTTTGATTTTGACTGCTCTCAACTCATCAATCAGTAACATCATTCTACATTTTGGGAAAGCTTCTTTTGTACTGAATACTCGGTATTTGAAATCATATAGAAAAGATAATTTTTAAGTTGTATTTCCTGCATGATAGACCACTCATTTGCATTGCATCCTTGAGCATTTGGCTTCTTTTTTAGAAAGACAAGTTTTGATGAATCAAATTCTCCTCTACTCAAGAAATTAATACAATGAAAAGCTGTAAATCCGTCTCATTGAAACCACATGAAAACTTAATTTTGTACGAAATCAGTCACTCAAGTGCTACAGTATACCATTTCACATAATTCTTTCTTCAACCACAAGCTAATATCTAATGAGTTGGTAGCTTTTAATATCTAATCCCCACCCCCCCCACCCCCCATAAAAAACATCCCAAAACACAGTATGTAGGTAATAGGAATATTAGATAAATGATTTGGCAAAATAGTGTATTCCATAGCAATAAGAAAGGGTGGCAGCTCTGCTTTCAGAGGATCACTATTACCTGCCATGTATGACCAATACAAGAAATCCAGCAGATCTGATTAATTCAATTTCTGTTCGTGTCATCTTATGCGTCCAGCAAGCATTGACTTGACCATCAAAACCATAACTAGACTGCATTCCAGTTGATGATATACCTTTGACGTATTCCTGCAACAAACAGTTTTTAAGGTCCAGCTAGAGACATCCTTGTGAAATAATGGAGGGTCAGGACAAGCAGTGCAGTATTTAAATAAATGGATGATCAGAACAAGTAGCACAATCACAAACAATTAGCTGCGGGTATTCGTGCTAACTTGATATTTAAACAAAATAATTTATAGGATCAATGCAAATATGCAATAACGAGCAGGTGACAAAACTTGCTGGAAGCAGGCTATGCAATAATGAGCAGGTGACAAAACTTGCTAGAAGCAGGCTAACATGCATGTATAGAATCAATGCATCTACAGAGTTAGCACGCAACCCTGGATCATCTTGCATATTAAATGCTTCTTAGGGCTTAATTCAGGAATGTTAATAAAAAATAAAGATGATGGTTTGACAACTTTCTTACATCGACAAATATCATCTGACATTCTTAATTGTTTAGTTCTATGGTCTTCTATGGTGTTAGTAAGCATTAATATAACAACATGAAAATCAGACACTCAAAAGAAGCGCAGACCAGCAACCTCTACAGTAGTAAATGAAAGGTAAGAGCAAATTTTAAGATTTAATTTTCTCATAAGATCATCATGCTTTTCTTACTTGATACAAGACTGCTCTTCTTGTGCTAGACCCAACATACTCATCAAGATATTCCTGCACATTAAAATAAATATCATGTGAGTTGTTGCAGTCACAAAACTCACTTGAGAAATTATCAGAGAGTAAACAGCACAGAATCTATTTCAAGATTGTCTTCATACATTCCATTTGATCTTTCTAAAGGCACTCCTGATTTGAAGGAAGATATAGCTCTTCTTTTTTTTTTTTAATGTAGCAATAACGACCAGTATATAAATGTTCTAGAGCTACCAAATTTCTAGTCTGGACCTGATTATTTACCTTTGTGTAGTGAGTGTCCAAGTCAACAGCAGCCCTTTGCTCTGGAGTCTTTGCCTTAAACAAACGGATAGCAACAGATATTGTTTGACGGTCAAGCTGCAACATAAAAAAAATCCATCACTTCATGGTTCTTCATAAAAGAAAAATGCACTTTAGGCTGTTGGCCAGTGATTTCAAATAAGGCTGAGAGCTTATAAAACCAACAGATGTGAATTGCATCCTGTTAGGAGAAATCCCCAGTACATTTAAGCATAAGGGATCCCTGACAATGCTATACCTCTTGCACACCTCACAGACAATCTATAGAACTAGAGGGGAGACAGTCTCTCAGTGTCTTCACAATATTGTAATAACAAGTTTATCAATTAACATCAAAGGCTTATCATATATTGTCATAAAATAAGTATCCAATATTAACAAACAGTGTTGTGAATGGTGTTATAAGCAGAAGAACAAGTGTTTGTTGATTTCATGATCTAAATCCCAAGAAAAGCTGTTATATCATTGGCTAATTCGCCAAAGGCTCAGTTGCAACAACGGATCTTCTTCAAACCTAGGTTAGGTTGGGAAGAAAAGTTAGCTGCTAACTTGATTGTAATTTATTATCGTCAGCAAGTAATCCTGTATCAATCTTAATACATTACGATGTGTATATTAAATAAATTAGGTTGTTTTTTTCCTTTTCTCCTATAGCACAGCAGGGGTGATGCCAAGTTGCAGGCCGTGGATTATGACTTTTGAAGTGATTAGTGCACAGAAGAATAAAATAATAGTGATGAAGTCTTGCCATAAAACACACAAACGTTTATGTAAATAGCCAGTGAATCCACACCCAAGCAATAATTTAAAAAGTTGCCATGTCTGACCCCCTCAAATATGCAATCAATGTTTTTAAATTGAAGTGGAAATTTTTTACTGCCATAAATACTAAACAAGTAAACAGTGTGAATTACAAGGTTTGACTAAAGGCAGGTCCATAGAGGTTCCGGAGTCAGGCAGTCCAAAATCAACCATTGACATGTTCAAAAATGACTCCCAAAAGCTTTGAATATTGTCCAGAGTTGGTAGAATGACCAAGTTAAAGTGCTAAACAGCTTCAATATAGTCATGCAGTTCAAATCCGACCTAACTTTGACCGAATTCCCAACCCTTCCAATATACTATAGCCATGAAAAAGACTTCATCTTGAGTAGCTTCAGGTGATCTTAATAGGAACCATGCTATTATTTTGTGCTCCCGGCGCAAGATTCAAACAAAATTTCACAATGTTGCCTCTGAGGCCTAGAAAGGACAGTCTTCGATTATCTATCACATATCTTTCCTCCATGGCAAGCTCCATCCAAGGAGTCTTTGCTCATCTGAGTAGGACAGAATTTGACTTGACTTGTATAATAGAAAGCTAAGGTACTTGTCATTTTAGAGTGGAAATGTCTTGGTCTTCAATTTATGTAGTTCTGGATTCCTATGTTTGGAGTTATACTAATTAATGAGGAACTTGTACCAAACATTCAACAAAACTTCTTTAACTAAAACATAAATACCAGGGCTTTTATTTTGCTAAAACTTTGACAGTGATACATAAGAAATTGAAGTGCACTCTTTCACACTTTCCTAAAATAATGAAAGTCACGATAACTAAAAGCATGACCAAAAAGTTGAAAAGGAAAGACAGGAAGCAATTCTAGATCCTCTCACATGAGAAACTTCGTTTTGCTAGTAAAACAACTAAAGTTGGGGACTGAAAATCATCAATCATACTACTTTCTAACTTTAATTCCTTCGCCTGATCATCTAGCAGCAGGTTACACTGCTTCAGATGCGTGACATATCTAGGGTTCTCAAAAACTCATATGAGACAATGCAAACTATAGAAGCCATATAGTTGTGTTGCCTTGGTATACAAGTGCCGATAAGCAGGGTTTTGCATCGCCTAACTACAATGCCCAGTATGTTCACCACAACCAATGACCAATCCTAGACCCTATACAGCTAATGTAGCAATGCCACCATATCCTACTTAGACTAAGACTTGGTGGAAATTTTCTACGACAAATCAATACTAGAAAAAATAAATATTTACTACAGTAACAAGCACTTCTTGGAGATTTTACGCGGTCAAATTATGCTTGTAAATGATGCGGGGTGAATATTTGGCGTTTATGAAGCAAGCATTATACTGAGCAAAAACCAGCAAGATACTTTTATCAAGTAAACTCTGGAAAGTTTATACTGAGCAAAAACCAGCAGGATACTTTTATCAAGTAAACTCTGGAAAGTACAAACCTTATCACCTAATATTGAAATAGATTCACATGTGAAGAAAAACACTACTCAAATTCATTCATAAAAAAAAGGCAATTCCTTTCAAGTCCTTCTAAAGATGCAATTCTGTAGAACACAAAAGCTATAGTGAAACAAATGTTAATTCCTTCGACTTGATGTTTATAAAATTATGAAATTTAATAAAATCAGAATATGCATGTTAGAAAGAGAATTCAAAAGATATGGAATTGTGTGCATTTGAGGGAACTAAGTTAGTGTTCAAGAGTTCATAGGAACATGAAGACAGCACAGCTGAACAGCAACACAAAGAGATAATACCTTTGGTAAACATTCGAAACCTCCACCAGTTACATTAAGTAATGCCAAAGATAGAACTCTGTCCGGCACCATTGCTGCTAACTTGCAAGCTATCATAGCACCTGTTTCAATAATAACATATCAAACAAACTCTGAAGAAATTGTTGCGAGGCATTTGATTTCAGTTCATTAATTAATGCCAAAAACGAAAACGAAAAACTCGGTATCATGGACTCACCCATTGAATGGCCAAATACATGAGCTTTTCTCCAACCCAGATGATCCATCAAAGCAATTGCATCTTTTGCCATTATTTTTGTTCTGCACTCAGCAATAAAATAAAATAAAAAAATCATCAATGGAACCCACACGCCTTTGCTTCTAAATTCAAGTCAACTACTTTTTTTTCTATCTACAGCCAATTACATTGCTAAGCAACACAAGCATCGAGAACTATTGAAGCCGAGTTGAGTAAGTCAAAATTTCTTCTACCTTTTCTAATTCTACACAACTATTAAACTATAAAATTCCATTTCTTCCCTATTTTTTCTCGAAAACCAAACAAACAAAAAAATCAAGGTCAAAAGAAAGTTGTAGAGCAAATGGAGATTCAACAACTACCTTCAAAAAAGCAAAACACCATCATAAATCAAACAAAAACACAAAACCCAGATCAAAAAACACACCAAAACTTTCAAAAGAAATCATAAGAAAGGGCCATGCATCAAAATTCAAATGATCCATCATAATAGAATCAAACTTGAATCGACCCACATAAAACAATTAACCATTAAACAACATTAATGTGAGAAGACTCACGAATATTCAGAATTTTTGGTGGGCACAGAACTCCTTCCCATACCACGATTATCAAAGGCACAAACTTGAACACCGTTACCACCATAGCCATCTTCCCCATTATAATCTGATTGATCAACGCCTCTCATTCCATCATCATCATTGGAAATCTCTTTCCCTGTAAGTGCCTTTATTTGTGGACCCCACGAATCATTTGTCCCAGCAAATCCTGCTCCCCATCAAACAATCCACAATTCATCAATCAAACAACCCAGTTCAAAACAAAAAATAGGAAGAAAAAAGATTTCTTTTTCGATAATTGTTATTACCTATAATGAGAAGAACTTTTGTGGTTCCATGACCATGAGTTCTGTAAAAAATTTTGATGCCATTATTGTTAGCACTAGCAGCATCAACTCCATCATATAAACTGGCCTGGTGTTTAGCTACCTCGCAAAAAGGCATGATGTTTGCTTCCTATGCACACACAAACTTTACAATATTACAAAAATGCAAAGACAGAGAGGAGCTGTTCTCAGAATTTTGGAGGGGAAATTCCAAGGTTCCAGAAAATGGAGGAGGAGAAAACAGAGGAGAAGATGTCTTGTGATTTTGGTGATGGTGGGATGTCTTTTATTGGGAGTGAGTTACATCTCGGTCCCTGTATCTTCAATGCAATAACTTTTAGTCTTTTATGTTATTTTATTTTATTATTTTATGTTGAATAGTAAAAAGTATTTGAGAAATCGATAATAACTAAAAGTTATAAAATAAACCTTTTGAAACATTTATTTAATATAAATAATTTTAAATTATATATTACAAAAACACATATAATCATAGCCAATTGAAAACAACTACTTGTTCACAAAAAAAGCCACAACTAATTAGCCATAATACTATAATCATAGCCAATTGAAAACAACTGCTTGTTCACAAAAAAAGCCACAACTAATTAAATAAACTTATAGATGATAATTTTAACTTGAATTTTATATTTTTTTAATAATTAATAGACACTATAAATAATAAATAAAATATAAAAACTACTCAAAATCTAAGTTTAAACTTGATATGAGATGTATATATTTATATCACATACATAAATTTATATTTTTTTAATTTAATATTTATAATTTAATATTTACATATTTCAATATTGATGTAATATATAAGCATGTGTAAGTGTATTATTTTATCTTTTATTTTATTTTATTTTGAATAGTAAATAATACTGGAGAAATAAATATTTGAAACTAAATGAATATGATATAATATAATATAATACATATATATATATATATATATGAGAAGAAGAAAACCGACCATGAAAAATTGAAAATTCCATTGTCATCCTATATGGACCTTACGCCATGAACATAAACGACAACGCAAGGCTGAAGTGTGGGATGGACTAATTAATTAGTTTCCTACGAATACAAGGACTAAGATGTAATTTATCTTGAGAGGGGGGGGGGGGTGGATGATGAGCTGGAGAGTGGACAGGTGTGGTAGGGTGGGAGAATATAAAAATCCGATTCTGCTCAGACGAGAGTTTTTGATTTGGGTTGCGGCTCAACGCGGGGAAAAAAATGGAAGATTCCAGGTAGCAACGTCCGGTTTAATACTAATTATGACCGGTCAAATATTTTTAATTTTTATAAAACTATATATATATATAGGTTTTTTAATGAATTTTTATAATTTAAAATATTTAATTTTAAATAAAAAATTTATGGATATATATAATCTAATAAATTAATAACTATATATACGTGAATAGATGAATAAAAAATTATTAAAATTACTTAAAAATAAAACTTGAAAAATAAAAAGACATGTGTAGATTATTATGATATTTAATCTTGAAAGATAAGATATTTATGGTTGTATTTGCTGAAAAATTTATTAAAATAATTTTTGTATTTAAGCAAATGATAATAAGAATAAAAGAAAAAAAAAGTAAGACTACACATATTAAAAATACTGTCTAAAAATACTTTTTTATTTTCAAAAATAAATTTCATCCATATAAAATATAAATAAAATATAAATAAATCAAAAAAAATCTTTAAATTTAAATGCATAACTATCAGAAAAAATCTTTAAATTTAAATGCATAACTAAACAAAATCGTCATTTAAAATAGGCTCTCCAAATAAAATAAAATAAAAATCAGATACTAATTTAAATATATAATAAAAATATTTAGAGAAAAAACCATAAAAATGAATCATTAGTTTTTATAAAAAAAAAAAAAATCAGGCTTGTTAGATTTGGTAAGTCAGGCTGACCCACCTAGTTCATTTTATCAAAACCCACATAAATTGGCCCTTTAATTTTTTTTTGCAATATTCACCCTAAATTTAGAAGAAAAAAAAAATTAATTTGACCTGGCCAAATTTCAATCATTGTGGCGTTCAAGTAATTATGGTGCTCAAAAAATTAAGATTTATGTTTTTTTATCTAAAATTCTATTTTCTAACTTATTTTGATAAAAAAAATGCTTATAAAATACTACATAAACTTGATAACCTTATTTTGGTCTAAAAAACCTTTAAAAGTTGCCTCAAAAATCAAAATCAACATGAATAAAAAAAATTAACTCAAGTTCAAAAAAAAATTTCATGAACTTTAAAGGTAAAGGGAAAAAAAAACATTTAATATGAGCTCTCATTATCAAATAGAACCATTTAACATAAATATCATCCATTTTATGACCTAAATTAGTATTAATAATATTTTTCTCCCTCCACTGCTAAGATCTAGTGATCTCTCTTTTCTCTCTCAATTAGAGATTAAAAAATAACAAAATAAGCTTTAATGTCAAAATTGAATTAGAAAACTATTTAGATATTGAAATTATATAACTTGTGTGATTTTTAAAATTCAAATATCAAAGTGCATCTTTTGCAAAAATTATAACATATCATTCTTGTTTGGTGTCTTTTTATATTTCGATTTCTCTTCTTTTAATCTCACATTTTTACAAAAAAATCAAAATCAATTGACGTTTAGTTAACACTAAGTCATTGCAAACAAAATTCAAAAACCAAATTAAAATTATATAAAATTTTATATAGCTCATTTGTAATAATACAAGAAAGGTTGAAAAATATAGTCATGCCTAATGAAAAGTCCACACCTTTTAAAGTAATACTTAATACATTCATGTTTTGTGATAGTGGGTCATTTAGCTCAAGGTTATTAATTTATAAACAAGTCTACCATCATCTTTGTTTTTATATTTTAAGGTGGAGAATTTTTTAATTAACTATGAATTTACAATTTCTTAATGAGAATTATGATTTTGCATGTTGTTGTGATATTGTAAATGAAATTATTATTGGAGATCTTGACTGGTAATATTCTAATAGTTGTTGATTAAAGGCTAAACAAATTGACATAATATTTAACGTAGTTTGATAAATTATTTATGTTCACGAGAAAGTTAATATTATTAGAGAAGAGGTTACAAAACACATGGAGAAAAAGGATCACTATATTCAAACTCAATTCTCATTGTTCTCACGCACTGCTGCACATGGCAACAAGGATATTGCCTTGATAACAACTCTACTTTCTCTTTTTTTCTTTTCACTCTCATGTTGCTGCTTTTTTAGTATCAATTTATAGATAAGAATGGTACCACCTACTTTAGATCATCTCCAATAATAATGGCTATCTAACTTTTACTTACTTTCGATTGTTGTACCAACAACTCTCTTTAATTCTTATAAGTTGTTTTTTTTTATTTGACAATTACAATTATTTTCTTTTAATAGATGGGCTGCAGATGTTGTCACATATTTGATAGTATCCAAATAATTATTAAGATAATTAAAATATAAATATGTAATTTCTCATAATAAATATTTAACACATAACACATTATATAACAAAATCAAACATAAAAATATAAAAACTTTTAATTCATAATAAAAAAATTAAAACAAAAGAAAAATTAAATTTTTAAAAATATAAGCAAAACAATTACAAACATTGTTTAAGTTACCAAATCTAAATTTAAATGCACAAGAAATAAATATGTTTGATAGTTTCTAGTTTGATTTAAAAGCATCACCTATGGTAAAGTCTTGGGAAAACTTATGGAGCTTCACTTCCTTTTTGTTTCTTTTTTTAGAGCTTTATTTATTTATTTATTTTTTCTTTTAATTTCATTATTAATTTTTTTAAACAATAACTTCAATTGCCTTTTAACCAATAAAATTAACTAGTTTACATTAAAATAACTTTTACCTAATTTAATTTGAAACCTTGACAACAAAAAAAAAAGCCTAGTTGATATTTTATAAATTTTATCATTTTTTTTTTAATTTTATTATTGATTTTTATTATTGATTAACCGAGTTACTTTTAAACAGTTAAGTTACTTTTGTCATGTTTAGATAATTTTTAGACTATTTAATTTTAAACCTGGTTTGAACAAGAATTTTGATCAAAAAGATTTTTTTTGTAAATTTTTTTTATTAATTGAATTCTTAATCTTTTTTATCGATGGCTGGATTATCTTTAAAATAATCAAATTATTTTGATTATATTGAACTCATTTTTATAAAAATTAATTTTAATCCTAAACCACACACGAAATTCAATAGACTTTTCAAGATTTGGTTGGGAATTCAAATTTAATAACAATATTTACATTCTTAATATTTTTATTACCGTCAATTTTTTAATATCAGACCCCCGCCATAGCGTTTTTGTGTAGACTAGGTATAATTCCAATCACCTTCAAGTAAACAATCGGTTCTGGGCTCTCTTCAATAATTCTAAAATATAAAATATTGGGCCTACAAAAAGGCCCATTAGTCAGCATCTTCAGATCTCACTCCAACCAACCGACAGATCACTCAAGAAGTTGCCGCCTCCTCCACCTCTCATTCCATGCGGGTCGGGTTTGTGGATCATATCTACGACCACCCATCCATTCCCAGTCCGGCTCACCACCGTTGCTTCCTTCTCTGCTTTCCTAGATTGGGTCAGGTATCACTGATCCTCCACCGCGTCCTCTGGTTATCCGGGTCTTTGGTTTTTGTTTTTTTTTTTTTTTTTTTTAAGATGGAAGATAGAGAAGCTGGATTACAAGACAGATTGAGCGATCTACCAGACTACATAATTCACGAAATCCTTTGTTTCCTCGAGATTAATCAAGCGATCCAAACTTCTGTCTTGTCCAAAAGATGGAAAAACTTGTGGGCTTCTGTTCCAGACCTGAATTTCAGCAGCAAAAGTTTTACAGAACAAACGTTTGCTAAGTTTCTCCGAAGAGTTATGTCCAAAAGGGAAGATTGCAACGTTCGGAGACTTGACATGTTTGCCCATTTGCCTGTTCGTCTCTCATCAATGGAGGGTTTGATAAATTACGCAGTGGCTCATCAGGTTGAGGATTTTCGGTTTGCTTCCAATGATGTCCAACCTGTTTCCTTACCAGCATGCGGTTCCTTGAAGACCCTTTTCTTGTCTCGATGCAAGTTTGGTGATTTGCTGACATCTTTTGGTTTCGGTTTTGTTAATCTGACCTCGTTGGACTTGTATGTGTGTTGGTTTTGTTATTCTGAGAATGATTGTGGTGACCCTTTTGCTAGTTGTCGGAATTTGAGGAGGTTATGTCTCCGTTATTGTCGGTTTCCATCTTTGAAAAGGTTGAAAATTACTGGGTTTCAGCTGGCTAGCTTAGAAATTCAAGGGTTCGGGTATGGTGATCGAGGGTTACAAGAAGGTTGTGAGGTTGAGATTTTTGCGCCGAATCTGTTGTCTTTTGTGTACAAATTCTCCAAACCAGTGGATTTCTGTGGGCTTCATTTTCCATCTCTTGATTATGTTGAGGTCCATGTTTGGCAACATGGTACTGATGAGGCTACTGATCATGACAAAAGAAGGGTCAGTCTGTTCTTGATGAGTATGTTTGAAGGCTTTGGGAATGCACAATCTGTCAAGTTATATTGCGAAACCATTCAGGTATTTTTCTGTAATCTTCACTGCTGGTGATGAAGTAGTAAAAAAGAAGTTTACTAGCTGCTGTTTTATTTATCTTACGTTGAATGAGTTTTGGTGTCCTGGCCTTTTTGCTAGGTTCTTGATTTGGTTGATGGATTGCTAGAACAACAACCTTCTCCCTTTAAAAGATTGAAGAAAGTAGATGTGCAATGTAATCGTGAATCATTCAAGGTACCTGCTCATGTGACAAACTACTTGCTCGCTGGCACTATTGGGCAGGAACTACATCTAGAGGTAATTACGTTTCATTTCATTTTTATTTTTTTTACATATACATTACTTCACAAGTATAAGGGGTATGGGCATAATTGATGGTGTAGTTTCCACGTCAGCTTGGAAATCCATCTGTTCTTAACCAGGATGTGGTTAGCTATGTTTAATGCATTGTTTTGTTGTGTGCTTACTGTCCTAAGGTAGAGGGATGATGTGGATCGACATTAGTGACATGCTTTTGTGAAACTTGCAATTCCAGCCTTTATTTTTCTTCCTCATTTTTGAAGAATTGATGGTCAATGTTTAACCATATCTGGTTGATGCTTCTAAATGCAAAGAAATTTGACAAGTTTTGTACACTATCCTATTTTGTTTTGATCTTGCCAATTAATAGAATATAATTGAAATTGGATTTTTTACGTGATTTGTCTATGCTTGTTAAGTCTAGTTAGGTGATCGAGTGTTGGATCAATCTCAACCCATTTAGGGTTTGTGACAGGGGTTGGCATGGCTCTATGCTCTCAAGTGTATCTGTACTGTGTACCTTTAATGAGTTTAAGGAAACAATAACATGGATGCATTCCTTGCTTTACATTGACCTGCCTCCTTCGAGTAAACATTTTTAGACTAGATTCGGGAAACATCTTTAGCTACTACCTAATAGACAATACAAATGGCTTAGCATTATACTGTCATAGGTATTCCATTGACCTTGATTTGGTGCAAGTTAATTCTTTCCTTCTCTCTCACGAGTTATCTCAAATAATGGCATACCTTTCTTTAATTTTGACTTCCTTGTTCATTCAGATTGTCAAAATCTGGCATTTTCTTTTAAATGTGCATATCAATCTAGTCTTGGTACCCTTTTATTTGCTTTTCTGTTATTCAGTTCATTTGTCCTGACAATTTGGGAAGTAAAAATAAAAAATTTAGTTATGCATCACCTTTTATTTTGGGGAAGTCTTTTTTCTCTGTTGGTTGTGGGTGTGTGTATTTACCTGTTTTGGTTAAGCTTATATCAGTTCATCTGTATATGAGCTCTGCTCTTCAATTTACCTTCACTTTTGTTTGGATTGCATTGTCTGGCCAGATTTAATTTTCCATGGGGATTCTTACATATGTTGGTTGTCAGATTTCATTATTGAATTTCAACATTCGTTTTGTCGATGCTTGTTAAGCCATAAAGTCCTAGGTAGGTGACCAAGTTTTGGCATCAATCCCTGCTCATTTAAGGGTCATGATAGGAGTTGGCATCAGTAGATGCTGTCAAAGTGTTTTAATTGCACTGTGTAAAACATAATGAGTTAAGGGAATAATATATGGATCCATTCCCTGCTTGATATTGACCTGCTTCCATGTCATTCTCCATTCATTCAACCTTTTTAAATAGAATTAGGAACGGAACCTTGTTACCTACTTTCAAATTATTGACATTACAAATACCCCAGCATTTTATTGTCCTAGGTACTCCAAAGACTTTAATTTGGTGTTCATAGATTCTTCCCCTCTCTGTCAGGTTATTGAGCTGATCGGAACATGCAAACTGTTGGTGGACCTTTCTTTTTCCTTTTTCCTTCTCTCCCTCCCTCCAATGCTGACTCCCCTATCCATTTGGAGCATAGAAATCTATCATTTGCTTTTATATGTGCATATCTATTTAGTCTTAATTCCCTCTTTTGCTTTTCTGTTATCCAGTTCATATTGTCTTGACAATGTTGTGAGGCACTGGCTGAAGATTTAGTCTAATGCATCACCTCTTCATCTTCTTGCAGGTGCCAACCTGATGATTAGCAGCTGCATATTTCACAGGAGTAGATTTTGGCGGTGATGGATAAATTCATACCAAACTTCCCTTTCCTTTAGCTTACCTTTCTTATTGCAGCAAAGGCGTCCATACATTGTGAATATCTTGTCTTGTCTCAGCAGGCAAGTGCATGGAAAGATAGCTTCATCTTCATAACAACACTCCCAGAAAGGCTGAAAAGGAATGCAGGAGAAACTACGTTGTGCACAATCGCTTAAGAAAGAGAACTTCAAGTTTAGTCACCAATCTATGCTTCTTGTCTTCTTTTTTTTCAAGTATATACGCAATCAATTTCCTTCCTTCAGAACCTCTTGCTAGAGGACATTTGTGAAGTCTATGCTGCAACGATCGTGCAGGTTATACTCTCTGATCTTTCCAGAGCTTTAAAATGTTGCTAAAGTAGATAGTTGTAATTGCAAAAATCCTCCTTTTGGATTCTATTGTAAATTTCAATGAAAAATGAATTTAGTGCTGTGATTAAGATGAAGAACTGAATGGTTACCCAAAGAGATTGTTGATTAGAGAGAGAGAGAGAGAGAGAGAGAGAGAGAGAGATAAGTGGACAAAAGTGGTTGCCCATGGTACACTGACTGCCCATCGAAATACGTGACCTCGTTTGTTGAGAATGAAGACCAATTGTTTCAATATATGGAAGTTATAACTATTTTTTTTAATAAAAAATCAACACTATAATTTATGATATTTAATATTTATGATAATCTAATTATAAACTCTTAATTTTATTTAATCTAAGTGAAAAATGATCATAAAAAAGTTATATTGTTAACTAAGAAATGAAAGCTTTTATATTAAATTTATAATAAAAATTAAATACACAGCACTAGCTATATATAAAAGCAATAATTTTAATATGTTATATTGCTAAAAAGTTCTATATAAAAGAAATAAAATTATATTGTTCATGCCTTTTATTGATTTTCTAAAAAAGTTAAAAACTTCAAAGGAAAAACCATAAAAAGCCTCTAAAATATTTCTTTTTCAAACTTACTATAAATTGAAAAAAATACTTTTATAGTTTTTTGAATGAAGAAATATTATATTTCAGTATAAAATTGTAGTTTTTTTTTATTTTTTATTTATTTTTCTAAGCTTTTTTCTAAACACTTAAAAAATTTAAATAGTAAAATGTAATATGATGAAAACCATAGGAACTAGAATATAGTTTTTATTTATTTTTGGACCATTGAAATTTAACATTTGATCACCATTAGAGAGTGAAGTACATAAAAAAGAAGTAATTATTATTTACTTTTAGTCAAGCTAACTTATCACTAATGTATGACTCTCACACATACTCTCTCTCTCTTCCTTTCTCCTTTTAAGATACTCCCATTCCTCCTCCTGCCACTAGGGTTCTCCAAGACTCACACAGGGCAATCAAGCAGCAGCGCAGGCAAAGACTTAAAGAACCCAAGTCCTAGCAAGCAGATTGCAAGAAAGAATCAGACTTTGAACATTTTGACAAATCAAGAACTAGAGAGACAGATCTTTAGTGTATAACCTTTGCATTTTGTTGGGTTTTCAAGAACATGGAGAGATCTAGATCCAAGAGGAACTACTATTATGACCATCAAGATTATGACAATGACAACCTCAACAACAACAACAACAACAACAACATGGTTAGGACCAAACCCAGATACAACAACAACAACAACAATTATTACCGTCAACGGGGACAAGGAGGCAATAACATGTTCAACAACAACAACAACAGGTTTTCAAGAACCCAGCAGCAGCAGCAACCACAGCAGCAGCAACAAGACCCATCATCGACATTAATGGTGACAACGAGTTACAGAATTTTATGTCATGATATGAAAGCAGGGGGGGTGATTGGTAAGTCGGGGAGCATAATCAAGTCCATAAGGCAACACACGGGAGCGTGGATTAATGTTCATGAGTTGATTCCTGGTGATGAGGAGAGGATAATTGAGATTTCAGATACGCGTAGGAGAGACCCAGAAGGGAGAATGCCTTCGTTTTCGCCAGCGCAAGAGGCGCTTTTCTTGATACATGATAGGATTCTTGAGAATGATTTGCAGTATGGTGTGGTGAGTAGTGGTGCTGGTGGGTTTGAGGAGGACGAGTATGTGGGGAGAGGAGGGAATAGAGTGGCTACCAGATTGGTTGTGTCAAGAATGCATGTGGGGTGTTTGTTAGGGAAGGGAGGGAAGATTATTGAGCAGATGAGGATGGAAACAAAGACCCAGATTAGGATTTTGCCTAGAGATCATACCTTGCCAAGATGTGTTTCCGTGTCTGAGGAGATTGTTCAGGTTTTATGTTTCCCCAGCTCTTGTGTTGTGCTTATGACTGACTATTACTGCTGCCTGGAACTTTTTTTTTGAACAAAATGTTGGATGGAGCTTGATGTTGGTGAGACTGAAACTGAAGCTTGAACTGACCATATCAGGGGAGTTATTGGATTTGATTTATAAATGACTAATTCAATTTTGAAATACAATGGGTTTCATGCAATGTTTGGGAGTCCTGCAACGTTATACTTGAGTATTGAGCATTGAGGCCTAAGAGTACCTTGGGTTTTCATTGAATGATTATAGGATGATTCTGACATTATGAAATTTATAGGATTTTAAAGAATTTATCACTGCAATGTTGTTTAGATATTTGGCTCGATCCATTTAAAACCTGAAAATAGATCAATGAATGGAAGATGATGAGTAAGAGCTGTCATTTGTTTAACTTGAGGGAATTGTGGCTGGTTTTGCTTTCTAATGTGTTTGGTGTCTTTAATTTTTTGATTAGAGAATCAGATAGTTGAGTTACTTTCAATAAGAGTTTCAGGATGTGAATTATTGTTAATGGAAGTTAAATTCATGACTGCACGCTTTGTATATTGGTTCCTCTGCTGTTTGATAAGATTGAGTTTGTTGTAAAATGCACAATGTGATGTTATGTCAGGAAGGTACTAGTTTGAGATTTCTTTACCAATGGAGGGTTTTGGAATTGCATGAAGCTACTGGTGTTTTTCCTCTCTTGAAGCAAATGCAAAGCTAGAATAAAATGGTTCTATTTGAACCATCATGTTCGGTGCCTCATGCATTGCACTTTCCTGGCAGGTTATAGGTGATGTCAATGCTGTGAAAAATGCTGTTGCTATTATTTCATCAAGATTGAGGGAGAGTCAGCATCGTGACCGCAGTCATTTTCATGGACGAGTACAGTCACCGGAACGGTTTTTGGATGATGATTATATTCCACACATGAATACACGCCGTTCATCAATGGATGGACCACCGTCTTTTGGATCACGATCATCTGGCCCCAACTATAGAAACAATAACTATTCCTCACGAGCACCTGGTTTTCCTGTTGATGCTGGGGCAGATCCCATTGCTGACAGTGCACAGCCCTTTTATGTCGAGGACCTCGTGTTTCGAATTCTTTGTCCAATTGACAGAGTTAACAGAGTTGTTGGAGAATCTGATGGCTTAGTGGACTTGCTTCAAAATGAAATAGGTGTGGATGTTAAGGTTGCTGATCCTGTGTCTGGGTCTGATGAACAGATAATCACCATCTGCTCTGAGGAGGTACTATGCTTATAGAGTGTGCTCAAGTTTCTATTCTGTGTATAAAGCTATGCTTGTCTTTTTAAGTGGTGTTCTATTCCTTCCAGTTATGCTTTGCCACCTTGCTTCCTGGTCTATTGGTTATGAATTTACCCTTCCCTTTAATTTGAGTTTTATATTCTATTATATCTCGGTATATTTTCATTTTGTTTCCTTGGCTCTGCAATGTCACCCATCTCTCCAATTTCAAAGGTTCTAACATATCTATTGGTTTACATCAATGCTCAGGGTCCTGATGATGAGTTGTTTCCTGCTCAAGAAGCTTTGTTGCACATTCAAACTCGCATTGTTGATCTTGTTGCTGATAAAGACAACATAATAACAACGAGGTTACTTGTCCCATCCAGTGAGATTGGCTGTTTAGAGGGAAGAGATGGCTCCTTATCTGAGATGGAAAGTTTAACTGGTGCCACGATAGAGATCCTGCCAAAGGAAATGCTTCCGACATATCTATCGGGGACTGATGAGCTTGTACAGGTCTGTCACGCGACCGTATGATAAACACCATTGAAACAAAGACTTGTATATGCTTGATTTTAAATGTCACTTAAGACAACATAATGAATAAACACTAATGAAACATAGACTTATATGATGAATGATGCTTAATGTCACTTAAGACATTTGGATGAATGAAAATAACTTTCTGGCTCACTATGGGGTAGTTTTGTGACGGAGAATTGTCATAACTGGCACAGTTAAGTTTTGATAGATAAGAGTCCCGGACTATCCTGTTTGGTGCATAAGTGCAGGACAGTTTCCTCATGAATTCATTTTCTGGCTGACTGTTCTTAATGCCTGTGGGTCAGAAGTGAACAAATGTGAGGCATCCTCCATATGGATACTTCTTCCCTGTGCTTGTGGTGTGTACTTCGTAACTTGAGGATGCTCTTAAAGTATCATTTGTCAGTTGCCATGCGTATGATGAAAGATAAATGAAGTGTTGAAATCTGGGTGCCATGAGATCAAATGAGAGCCTTGTGAATAAGACTTGTATTGTTTCCAAGTGGTGTTTGATGTTCTCTACAGATTCAAGGGGAAGTAAAGGCAGCTCGTGATGCTCTTGTTGAAGTGACATCAAGACTTCGTAGTTACTTATACAAGGATGTCTTCCAGAAAGACCTGCCACCAACCGTGTCTGCACCGGTCCCTGCTGGGACTGCTGGAGGATTGCAGGCAGCTTCTTCAAATAACCCAACTCCAGCTCGTGAAGGTCACAGTGGTGGTGATCCTCCTGCAACCTATCAGAATGTGCAATCTGCTTCAACAGCACAGCCATCGAAGGTTCATTTTTTTTGCTTTCTGTGTATCTGAGTACCCATCTGCTATTGAAGAAATTGGATAAAAATCTAATCAAATTTAATCTTGGTTCACATTTTTGATAATGTTCAGCAAATAAGACTTTTAAATTAAGGCTCAGACAAAGTTGAATTAGAACTTAATTTTTTTTTTTAGCTTATCTTCCGAAGGTAAATTCAAAGTATTGCTGTTCTGTTTGCTGCCTACTTGGAGTGCCCTAATAATTTTTGTAGCAAATAGCTTCCTTGTGCAGTTCCTGCCGGTCTTATGCTTGTTTACTAATGGACTTTAAACCATTTTTGTTGGATGCAATTCATATAATCTATCAATTGCATGATATAGCTTTTGGTCTTTCTAAAAAGAACAACATTGAGGAAAAGAAATCTATCATTAGATTTTGTGTGAGTGTCCATTGTAGAGCAATGTTTAAATTAATGAAGGAGCCGGGGTTGAGTTCAAGAAATCTGTAATTCTAGTTCTTTTTATTTGAGATTTCGAAAAGGTGAGTAACCCTTGATTTTATAGGATGCTAGAAGATCTAGTGCTGAAACAGTGAAGCAGAATGAAAGCGAACACCGTGAAGATTTGCCTCCTCCTACAATGAATAGGTAGTCAATTAAACTATACTTAACAATGCTAGGCAGTACGTTCTTTCTTGCAATACATTAGGCATATCTCAAGAGCAACATCTGATCTCCACTTTGTAACATGCATCTTATTTTCCTGTTAGAATCCCTGTAACACTTGTCACTAGGAGTATACTTGAAGTTGTCATACCAGAGCCTGCAGTCCCCAAGCTCATTACGAAATCGAAAAACAAGCTTGCACAGATTAGTGAGGTGAGCCTACTTTTGCAGCAAGTTTCCATCGATTATTTACTTACCTTAAGTTTATAGTATTTCTAGCTGCCCTCTTCATTATGGTTACAGTTATCTGGAGCCAACGTAACCCTTGTTGAAGATAGACCGGATGTGACAGAAAAGATCATACAAATATCTGGAACCCCGGAACAAGCAGAGAGAGCACAGAGCTTGCTTCAAGGCTTTATTTTAAGCAGTAAGTCCCTCTCTATCTTCTTCTATTTTCTACATGCCTGCGTGCATTTTGACGTGCTTACTCATTTCTTGATCTTATAAATTCAAATGAAAAACTCGGTCCTTTTTCTTCATTTCAGTACAAGAAGATGGACCTTAGGTTAGTCACTGAAGCCAACGAACTCGGACTTGGAGCTGGCTTCAAATGAGAAGAATTCCTGATGTTCTAGTATAATACCTAGAGAATCCATTCTGTCCCTTATTTGTATGTAATTGATTTGGTATCTGTTTTAAATCACAAATTTCGGGAGCAAGAATTTCACTGTAAATGTAACTATTTGAGCTCATTGTTTTTTCTGCAACGCCACAATTTTCCTGTATGAATTGCAGTTTCTCTGTTATTGTTTTGTATCTTAATGTATTTCCTTTGCATCAATTGTCATCAGCTGGATTTAAATTTTCGAATTTGCCCAGTAGCTTCGGATGCCATAGATGGTGGATGGGAGTTTTTGTAAGAACTTGTCAGTAATATTTCTTTCCCAGCTGTACGAACTCGGACTATAGCTCTCGTAATCCTATAGCCCTCGTAATCCTATAGCCTGAACCCACTCATAGCTTTTATCTAACAATTTGAAGTGTTGAACTCGTAAAAGAGTTGGTACCTGGATCGGTAGTCATGGAGGAGTTCCATTTCTGAGGTCAGTGCCAGTAGAAATTTATTCTTTTCAATGCAGGTGTGTTCTTAAGATTCATCTGAGTAAAAAATTAATTTCATTTGATGCAAGGAAAACAATTTGTCATCTTTGTTTACCTGGGAGCTTGAAAACAACTTACTTTGTATATCCGGGAGCCTGTTTCATTTTCAGTTTCGTCTGAAGGTAAGCAGCAATTGTGTAAGCTCCCTTGATAACAACGAATAATAATAATAATAATATTTTTGATATTTAACGATTTTAAAATATAAAAAAATTAATTTTTTATATTTTTAAAAACTTCATTTGGTATGCAGTTTCAAATAGCTTTCAGCTATTAGGGCCGTGTTTTGTGTTTTTTGCTTTAGATTGAATAATTTTATTTTTTTAACAAGATAAATAAATAAATATACATGGTTGCTGAGCAGGTTTTTGGCCATAAAAAATATTCCAAGTCAAAAATATAAAAGTTTATAATGAAACTACCTAAATAAATCAAGAATTATCTATGTCAAAATAAAATAAAATCAAGAAATAAATATAAATTGAGATATTTATCTTGCAATATGGTTCATGTATTTAATTATATTTGATAATTTTATTTTTTAAAATATTTTTTTATTTAATCAAATAATAACATCATATGCACATATAAAAATGATATAATAAAAAAAAATATAAAGTTGCAAATATTTAAAAAAAATTATTAAATTTTATGTGAGAATAGATGATTTTAACCAAAGGTTAAATTGAAAAGTTAAGAGATATAAGTGGCTATAAATATCTAATATTTAAGCATGGGTTATAAACTAATTGTATTCAATAACAATATTTTCATATGTTTTATTTAATAAAAAAAACATGTATAGAAAAGTGATTGAATAAAATTAAAGGAAAAAAAATTCTATAGGTTTACATAGAATCATATTGTATATAAAAAATTAAATAAATTTGTTAAGAATCTATTAAAATTAAAATAAAAACTAATAAAGGATAAAATCACAAAAAAAATAAAATAAAAATAAAAGGATAAAACAACAAAAAAAACTAAAAAAAACTTAGATGCACAAGCTTGGCTTGGGTAGCCTTGCGCCCCTAGTCTTATAAAAAGCCCCAGTGGCTTTTCAGCTTAAGCCTACTTGGTAAATACTAATTTTTTTTTTGTTTATTAAAAAGCAAATGACACATTGCTTGTCTTTTCTTGAATTTCAATCATTATAGTAAAAAAATTAGAGTTTATAATTTTTTATACTTGTTAATATAAAAAAGTGTGCTTAGAAAAAATCTTATGTATCAATCTTTCATGAATGGAGAGAATTCATTTTTAAATTCAAATTAAATTGTTTTAATTTCATGGATATCCAATCAAAACTCTCTAACCCTTTTCCTTTCTTTTCTTTAAATACATAACAATTTTAGAAATTAATTTCAGTTCATTCATCTTAAAATTTGTATAATTAAGAAGTAGCAATTGAAAAATTATTTTTCTTTCAATTACTTCTAATATAATAACTTATACACCATGAATGAAAATATGCAGTGAAGTCTTAATATCACAATAGGTTAATTTGTCAAGTAGAGTTCCAAAAGCAATTTTAATTCTTTAATAAGTTCTCTTGTTGTTCTTTGTGGCCAGCTTTCATCAATAATATTGCTGGATTATCATAAAAAGAAATCTTTAATAATTTCACACGTTGATTTCTTGTTTTTCAGTTAGAAAGATGATGTCTTGATGAAACCCTAGATCGGATGACATTGTTTATTCTACCATGCTTTTTTTTTTGTCATCAATTTTTTGTTTTATTTTATCTTATCCTTGCACTTGAATATGATGCTTGCATCCATTTATATGACTCTCCTAAGATTGCAGAGCATTTAAAACGGATAATAAAGGAAAGAAATTAATGGTGGATGGCAATTTATTTTTCTATAATTCAATTATTTAATTTTGTAAACTATATCAAAAGACGGACTAGATTACAGCTGACGATCATGAGCTAGGAGACGGACGAGGTTATGATCCAGCCCTGGATATTAGAAACGTAACCAAATGCAAGAATGATTCCTTTAATGAGATGAACTGATGAGAAATTTAAATTTAAATTGAAACCAAGTGAAAAAAAAACACTTGACATGGTCGTATATGCTGTTTCTTCTTCTTCTTGTTCGCCTAAACCCTACAACCCTAAGAATAAACTCTCATCAAGCCTAAACCCTAACAATAAAAATAAATTCCCATTAAAAATACCGTCTGGTTACATTCCCCTCACCGATCCTGCCCCTTATCTTCGTTCGGTACTCTCTTTTTCTCTGATCAGTTTTCTAATTAAGGAAGATAATCTTATATTCAAATGGGGAACAACTACTTTTGGCCTGAAGATATAATTAGAGAGATTCTGTTAAGATTACCAGTGCAATCTTTGCTTCGATTCAAGACTGTTTCTAAATTTTGGTTTGATGTCATTACAAGCTCCAACTTTATTGACAGCCATTATCAACATCCCTCAAAACCAAAACGCTTTGTTATTCTCACACAGCGGCGAGAATTATATAGCATATCAGTGCTTCCCGGAGGAATAAATAGAGTTGATGATCGCAGCATGCCATTCGCACTAGAAGCGGATAAATATGCAGCAGAAATTGTGGGTTATAGTAATGGTTTAGTTTGTTTAAGTATCCGTTCAAAGATATCTAATGATCTTAACGCTCATATATATTCTGGAATCCAGCAACAAGGCAATACCGAGAGTTACCTCCTAACAGGATTTGTTACAGTCAAGCTCAAGGGTTTGGTTTCCATCACGGTATAAACGACTACAAACTGCTCCAAGTTGCTTACAGAAAGAATGGCCAGCTGGAAGCTAAGGTTCTTGCATTGAGCACAGGTTCTTGGAGAAAGGTGGAGGACACTCTTCCTTCATATGATTACGGTATTGCAAAACCGGTGGTTGTAAAAGGAGTGTGGTATCACATGGCAACAACTGCTCGAGAAACACCATTTATTATAAGGTTTGACATGGGCGATGACACCTTCTCCAAAGTGAAAACTGCACCTATACCTTTATCATTCCTCTCCTCAACTTCTCGTTAAGAAAGTGAAGTAGATGGAGCACAAAGACTTGCCTGCAATTTGCGTATTCGAATATAATTACTGGATCCCGTATCCCAGCTTATCTTTCAAGATTGATATATGGTTAATGAGCAACGAGCAGTCTTGGACAAAGGTATTGACATGTAGTCAGAATTCCGTTCCCATTTCTGATGTTGGCTTGCTGCCTTTAGGGTTCTGGGTTGATGAAGAAAGTATAATCTCGGAGAACTACAAGAGGGATGGCTTGAGCTTGTTTAATCTCTCGACTAAGCAATCGAAAGTGGTTGTGGTAGATGAAGCCAGAAGGTTTGGAAGTGCTCATAGATATGTGGAGAGCATGGTTTCAGTCTACCCTACCAGAAGTCAAGAAAGGGACTCTACAAATTAATCAGACAGATCATTTTATATAGTTCTTCTTTTCCTTTATTAATTTGTGAGAGTTTTCTGTTACTCAACTCAATCAATTCTGAGCATTCTACAGTATATATTTGGACTTGAGAGCTTATTCAGGCTGCTAGGCGCTAGCAATAAAATAATTTATTTAAGAAATGCAAGAAGGAATTATATTCTTAGCTAGTAATTTCAGGTGAGCTCATGTCTTTGTATCCTTTAGTCTCCATATTATGTGTTTGATTTGTTTTCTTCTATACCATAACGAGCAGCATCAATATATTATATTCAGATGTCTTCCAAGAGGGTACCGTGTTCCTCCTTTAGCTTGATTTTTCATCATTTTTTTTACTAAATAATATTTTTTTTTTTGTGTTTTATGGTTATTTCTCTTTAATATATATATTAAATAATAATCAATACTTGGATGATTAATGGAAAACCGAAACTATGAAGTATAATTAATACTTGGATATACCATATTTACTCTCCTAAACTCATTCAGAATCTGTCCCAAAAAAGATTGAGTGGCCATATTTTATTTTCCTCCTTGTCAAGTGTAAAAGTTGTGATCGAGTCTGAGAGAGTATATTTACAAAAGGCTGATACAAAATCAACATTACACTTCACTAGTAAACAAAATTAACCTCCTAATTTAAGGATGTCTTCGATGTCCGAATCTTACAGAGAATCAGAATTTAAAATGTCTCGGATGCCCACAATAAAATATTCTCAAACCACACTACGCTCCACTCTGAGGCGAAAACTGAGGTGCTCGGCCAAGAGGTATCATGAGATCCTTCATGACCTCATACTCTTCTGCACTCATGCGGACACCATCCACCACCTATATATTTAGCCAACAACAAATCCAGTGAAATATACCATCAAAGGATTTCTTCCGTACAAGGGATTTAATGCTCAAGGATTCTGAAATGTAAATTCAAGCAAGACTAAAAATCCCAGTCTGATTCTGCAACTACGCTACCTGGCTAAATTTCTTATGCAACGAGTTCTAATATTTCAGTTTGATACAAAGAGTCACTTCAGTCTTCTATTCTTTATATTAAATACAGACCCAAAAAAGCTTCCAATATAAACAGTGAATTTTGTCGAAGCTGATGTCTAATCAAAATGTACGATTCATATATAACTTCCCGCTTTAATTCTGCAACAATTATTTTAGTTTCTATTCACATGTGCAAAGATTCTTTTTTTAAAGAAAGACAACCCCCCTCTTGTTTTAGGACTTCGCTTTCTCAGCCTTGAAGTAAAATTAACAAGAGAATTAAACCAAATTTAAATATCAAGAGTATTCACCTTCTGAATCACCATTCTCCTATTATCCATGTATGAAATGAGTGCTGGGATCCTGCATACAGAGAGAGCTTCAATGAAGAGAAGCGCTATGACTTGCCACTGTTTCATTCTGAATGCTGGAACTGCATCAAGGAAGGACATTGTACCCAACAAGTTCGCCTGTATAGGGGTTTCAAGCAGTCAGACCAATCACAAACAATACTTCTCCCAAGTTTGCAGGCAACAAATTAATATATTTGTTCATTTATCTCAACTCCATGATGCACAGAACAAATCCTATTGAGTTAAGGTCAAATTCTTATGATGTTCTTTCTGAATGGAAAGCAAGAGATGAAAATAAACTGTGTTTCCCATAATTGAGGACATGCTGCATCTTATCAAGTGAAACGTAGGATATTAACAGGTCAATGACAGACCTAACAAAAGCATACTTATATCCACAATTGAGTATGGAACTTTGTTCAATCATTAAAACAGTGTGCCCAAATAATATTGCTCTATCTAACGTTTATTTTTGCCCCTAGTGCATGGGTTGCCCCTTTATTATCATTGCAAAACACCTCCAAATGCTTTAAAGAATATATTGCAGCATTAATAATATCTAGGAGGCCAAAATCCATATCCTGTTGCCATACTGCTCTCACAATAGATTATACCCACTACTGCTATAAAATAATAGTTTAAGAATAAATACCGCTCCTTGCTCCAATGTAGATATAGGTATCGGCAGCCTGAGATCAGCAACAACAACAGGAAATGCCCGACCAAGACAACCCTCAATAGTTTGCTGGATTTCAAAGGAGCGACCATCTCCCGAGACAATCTTCCGAGGGTACTCCCTCCCATTAACCATTGAGTATTCCTCATGGGAACTTTCATCTTTACCATATACATATGCCAAAGAGGATGATGTGACCCATGCAAACAGAGCCATCCATATTGTCGCGAAAGAGGATAACTGGAAAGATGTCAGAGCATAGGAAGTGTAAATCTAAAATTGCAGGCGCTTGTGAGCTTAAAAAACAAGTATCAAGAGTTTACCTCCAAACTGAAACCTTCAGGAGGCGCATCATACCATGAATTCTCGGGATCAAAGCATTCAGATTGAGGAATCCCAGGCTTTCCTGGCCACTTAAGAGTCGAGGATTCTTCATCAAGCACATCAACATACTCCATGGGATCCCCTTGATCCAAATCATGTGGTTGAGGTAATATGACGAGTCCAGCTTCAGACACTGAACATAATTTCAAGACAACACAAACTCAGAAAAATCTTATTTTGTCAACCAAAAAATTAATTTCATCAAACTTATGTGTAAGATGACATACGAGCATTACTGGCATCAGCATCTCCAGACGCAACAGCTTCAGCAGCCTGGCTCAAAGCTTTAGCACATGCTTCAGCTGATTCGAATTTTAATACATAATCATCATCTCTCTTGTCTATATTGTCTACAATCTCAGGACCTGCTTTTGTATCTTCCATTTCCCTATCCTCGCAAAGATCTCTACTTCCAGAACTACCAACTTTCTCATCAGCCCAAGTAACAGAGCGAGCTAATTTCTTCGCACCAGAAGTCTTAAGAGAGGGCTTGAGTGATGATTCAACCGGTTTAGCTGCTTTTTCAGACATGGATTTTTCTTTAGCTTCAGCAGTAATTGTAATGGAACTGGTTTGACAGGAATCAAAAGGTGAAGACAGATCTTGACTGCTAAGCTCATCTTTTATAGGTCCTTTACTTCTATCTTCTTTCACCTTCCTTGATGTCTTACTAGAATCAACCTTTCTACTAGCAGAAGATTGATTCTCAGAGCTTTTCTGAGATACCTTTTCTTTCTGTTTCTGTTTTTTTGTTTTGGAAGTAGTGCCTGCCAAACCTGAGGGACTTTTTGAAATGCTATACTCATCTTGAGTGATAATGATGGTGCTTGTGAAGTTCATGTCATTGATGAAAGAGTCTTGTTTAATACTTTGTTTAGCACCTTTAGTTTCTGATCCTGTAATGCATAAATACAGTTCACTGGAGAATTGTTTGACAAATAATATTGGAAGGAAATGAAGCCAAAACAATTTAATAAAGAACAGATGGTAGTTGTGAGCGAACAAGAATGTCATGAATAATGTAAATTTGGAAAAAACCTTCAAAATGGTGTTAAAGGACAGAAATAGAAGCTTCAATTCTTGGAGATTTCACATTTTAGGGTCCAAGTAAAATTGACAAAAAGCTCTACCCAATTAGCCTTTTAAAGCTAGCCAGCTTATTGGAATTTGATTTTTCATTCATGAAATAGTGATGCATAAGAGAAGTTCTAACTGAACATCAAAGTTCTAACACAACATCTCTGCAACTTAAATAAAAGTTTCATTCATTGCATGCTTGTCAAGAATATGAATTAAATATAACTATAAGATTGAATATAAATCCTTTGATGTCTTACTAGAATCATCCTTTCCATGAGCAGAAGACTGACCCTTAGAGCCTTTATGAGATCCTTTTGCTTTTGGTTTCTGAGTTTTTTTATCAGTGTTGGTGTCTGTCAAGCCTGAGGGAGTTTTTGAAATGCTATATTCATCTTGAGTGATAATGGAGCTTGTGAAATCCATGTCATCGATGATAAAATCTTCTTTACTACTTTGTTTGGCAGTGTTAGCTTCTAGCCCTGCAATGCATAAATAATCACCATTCAGTAAAAGTAACAAAATGGTATCAGCAAAAAACTTTTTGAATCCAAAAGAAAGGGAGAAAAGATCTTACGTCAATAACCGAGAGCACTATCAAAAGAACAAGTCAAGCACTATGTAAATTTGGAAAGAAACTACAAATGGTAGTAAAAAGGAAGGAAATAAAAACTTCAGTTCTTAAAGGTTTCACATTCTAGGGCCCATCAAAAATTGAAAAGAAAAGGAAAGTAATTAAAAAAATCTACCCAATTAAGCCTTTCAAAGTTAGAAGCTTAGTGGGATGAGAATTTACTTCTTATGAAACCGATAAGAATAAGAAAACTTCAAACCCAACATCTCAGCAACTGAAGTGCAAGTTCGATTCTTTGACAAACAGTTCCATTTGTCGAACAGTTGTTTATAATACGAGTTAAGTACTACAACACCTGAAAGATTAACCCAAAGAAAAGCATAAATACAACCAAAGATTTAGTACTAATACCTTCTTTGTGATTTTTCAATGGTAAGGACTTTGAATTACGATCCCGTTGTGGAACATACCCTTCAATTGCATTTGAAGGACCAATCCATTGTTCAAAAGAAACCTCTCCCTCAACTTTTTCTGTTTTCTCCTCGATCTTCAAATTTGAAAAACCCAAATCCCCATTCTTCCCCAGACCACCCTCAGAACCCAAATTAAAATTATCAAACAACATCAAAACCTCATTAAGTTTTGCTGGATTCAATACCAAGCATCTCTCTTCTTGCAAGCTCCCAGAAAAAGTTCGACTATTAACAACACAACTAGAAGAGCAATACATGTACGTTTCGTTTAGATCATAAACTTTATGCTCCTTCAAAGAAATGCGATAACGGCCCTTTTGAGGGCGATCAGATGGCAAAGAATTGCCACAGAGAGGGTAACCACAGAGGTTTGCTATCGTTCGTTCTGTAACAACATCTTCATAGTCACTGCGCGACATTATAGATCCAGCTGCAAATAACTGATCCTCATT